CAGCTTACATTTCCAAAAATCTGCAGTACTCTGACAAGAAAAAATGTGTACGTCTGCTAAGACATTGACGTGATGCTATAAGCACTTTTCCACGTCAAAGGCAGTTTTTACAAATATGAGCGTTGGCTTGGATTTAAGTGCGCACACTGTAAAATCAAATCTGTGCGTACGCACACTTTATAAATGAGGCCCCATGCCTTTTGCAACATCTTCAACTTTTAGTTCAACTTTTAAAAAACATGTTTCAAGGACCTGCATTTTTCCCCCATTTCACTGGCCATGTCTTACATTTTTCAAAGCAAATGCGTGTCATGTGTGAATGGCCCTCAATGCAGCATTCTAAGCTCAAGTTAAAAGAACTCACATTTTTACATTTCATTGTTTTTCTATTTAAACATGCAGTAGATGGATATGTTTGACTGCTGTGCTTGAGCCTCACTCTTATATAGCTTCTCGCGCATGAGGAGCTTCACACCGAATGCATTTTTCCATTCCATTGTACTACTTTTCTGTTGTTTTTCTATGTAAATGTAACCCCTCTCTCCCGGGTCCTCACCGCCACACCTCGTTCTTGTTCCGAGTGGGTCTCCGGCATGGGAGGCGGATGCACTAACAAGGAGGCTAAAGACTGCAGCCACTAGCTTGTCTCTTGAGATCAGGGGAGTGAGGTTTTTACCTGCACAGCACCTACTCACTGGCCTCCGTTACACTCACCCCCCTAAGCCTCACTCCCATCTGGGTCACGGCACCAATGTAACCCCTCTCTCCCGGGTCTTCACAGCCACACCTCGTTCTTGTTCCAAGTGGGTCTCGAGCCCAGGTCTCCGGCATGGGAGGCGGACGCACAAACAAGGAGGCTAAAGACTCTCATGTCTCGAGCATGACATCGCATTATAAAAACATGCCACTCAAGTTAAAATGTTTAAATTTCAAGAAAAGCATCTCAAGTCCTTGTGTTTTTTCCCCAGTTTCTAGTCTCTAGACCTTGCATTTTTTTTAATTCCACTGCCCTGCATCTCAAGTTTTTACATTTCACTGAGCTTCTTTTCCATAGTTTTTCTATTTAAGTTTGTGATAAATGGACATGTTTGACTGCTGCTCTCATGTCTTTTTCAGTATTGCGCAAGACATGGCATTCTAAAAATGCAACGTGCAAGTTAAAAGAGCGTACATTAAAAAAAAAAAAAAGTGTCCGTGCCTTTGCAGCATCTTGCGGACATGATGTTCTAAAAACACAGCATTCATTTTAAAAGAAGTTAATCCTTAAAAGCTTCTTTTTTTTTTTATTCCACCACCCTGTGTTTTTAGACACAAAACATGTTCTGCGTGAATGACCAACTTATCTGAACTTAATCATTTATTCTTCTGACAGAGAAGTTAGCAGCGGTAGCGGTGAGCTCTAAGAGAGCCGTGCTGGGTGGAGCAGGTGTGATGGGCCCTCCAGGTCCTCCAGGACCACCTGGACCTCCAGGACCTCAGGGTCCTCATGGACTGCTAGGCGGCCGTGGCATTCCTGGCATAATCGGGGGCCCAGGCCAGATAGGAAACACTGGTCTTAAAGGTTAAAAAACCTTCTAAATATAGATGCTGCTCTTGAGAAAATATTGTCAGTCAGCCTCATTACTTTAAACATCATCCCCATGTTTCTATTTTGTAGGGAAGAGGGGTGCAAAGGGAGAGAGAGGAGATCCTGGACGACCACATCCTGGCCAACCGGGACCACCTGGACTGCCAGGTAAGTTCAAAGACCACCTGTATAGTCCGAGATGTCCAATTGCAAATTGGTTTACTCAGCAGCCCATCCTGTTTTCTCACAGGTCCTCCAGGTCTTGACGGTGTGGCTCGTGACGGTAGGCCAGGCGAGCGAGGACCTCAGGGTGCAGCGGGTGAGCCAGGCCGTCCTGGAAAGGCTGGTCCTCTCGGTCTTCCTGGATTTTGTGAAGCAGCTGCATGTTTGGCAGCATCCGCCTACACTTCTCCCAGATTACAAGAGGCGGGAACAGTAAAGGGCCCATCCACTTAAAGCAAGCCCTCTACTGGGGTATAAGAACATCTGGGAGAGAAAGAAATAGTCAGAAAGAAACAAAGAAAGGGGGAGAAGCATGGAAAGAGGGGCCTTCTCTTCAATGGACACATTGTGAGGGGGGAGGGAGCAGCTGCTGCTTGATATTGTGAACTTTTTGTATGTATTAGGATTGTTTATATATAATTTGACATCTACGGAAAGGAAGTGTTAAGTTGGCAATGTCAGCCGCTGCTGCTCTGTCCAACCTCACAGTACAGAGAGATGTGAGAACATTGCCAGTGACATCACTGATGACATCATCATCCTGCGCCCTGGACTAGAAGAACTGTGAGAATGACATTTAAAACAAAGGTGCTGTTTTTGTTTTTAAAATATTATTTGTTTTATGCATCTGATCCAAACTCCTAAAAGATAAAGGATGATGGTGAGATTTTTACATGGCAGGAAATTCTCCTATAACTGAACCAATAAAAATATTCAAAGCTACTTTATTAATAGATTCATTTACCTTGTGCTTCAGTGAACATCTTCCCTGGCTCGAGCGGATACCTCATGTGTACATTATGTCCTTGTTTGTATTGTGCCCATCTCCGCCATGAAGCAATGCCTTTGATCTGCTCTTCTAGGTGAGATGGTGACGTGCTCCCATTAACTTTATCCTCGATTCCATGCTGTAAATCTTTGTAAATGTGTATTAATTGTGTATGGACAGGGTGGGTTTAGAATATAAAACAGATCCAGAGTTAATGAATTTAATCAGCATTCAGGATCAAACGCCAAACAATGCTCAGACTTTCTGGTCAATTACAAACCTGTATGCCACTTTGAACATACTGTGTGTTATGTACTTAGAGAAGAACTTCATTAACAGACTATTTATTGTTCTTTTTTTGGTTTGTCTGTAAACACTCAAGTTTTCTTGCCTGATTGTTCAGATTTACCCCAATCAATAAACAGGAACGTTTTGTAAAACTCAATGTTCTTCTGCATCGTGAACATCTGAGAGGAACAACGATTTTAACTTTTGAAGAACTTATTTTCTCTCCTTTGGACCTCAAACTTCTTTTTTGTTTTAATAAAATGTATTAATTTCGATGTCTTGTCCGTGATAAAGTAGCAAGCATTAAATGTACTTGAATACTATATAATCATAAAGCACTTGATTGGCGTTACTTTTTTCTAAGCAAAAGAAACCACCTTTAAACTGTCTCCAACATTTGTTTAGGGATACAATAGATACATCTTTTTATTTCTCAGGTCTGTGGAATTATCAATCACAGCATTCAGCAGTCAGAAATGTCCTTATACTCTCCGTCATCATGGCAACACTGTCATCTGGGTAACTAATGCTGCCTACTTCCACCATTATTATTATTATTGCCATTTTATGCCTTTATTTCGATAGGACAGTAAGTGGACTTGAAAGCGAAGTAGATAGAGAGAGAGGGCCGCAACGAGACAATCTTAGCCGACATACTTCAACCATTTTGTAGAATAAACAGTCTAACTAGTGTGTTTGGGGGGGGGGAATTATATATATATATATATAAAATATATATATATAATATATATATATATGTGTGTGTGTGTGTAAGTTCAAATACTTGAATAATGTAGTTATTATTTAACTGATGAACTGAGATGAGGAATGGGAAGGTCTATCGGACTGCGATGCTGGAAGAAAAAATATAAAATTAACATGCTAGACCAGGGGGTTTTCAATTTTAGGATTATGGATTAGGACCATTCTCGTGTGAGGGACCCCATCCTAAAATTTAAAAGCTAAATAAGTATAAAATATTATTTGGTTGCCTAGACCCAAGTTTGAAAACTCCTACACCAGATGGTAGAAGACATAATGCATAGTACACCATTTGGGACACAGCTCATGTTTCTCACATTATTACACTGATTCATATTCTGATCACTATAGGTTACAACATTGTAGCCCCTTTTCAGTATAAGCAATCTTATTTCTATTTCCAAACCACCGCCCTCACCATCATATATGCTGTTATTTACAAAGTGTTGAAAATGTAACAGGAAACTCTGTACCCTTGGGCTCAATACTAAGTATTTCAAGACATTTCAGTCATCCTTTGTGAATACAAAACTGTTGCTATTGTTACAAACTGAAGATAGATATGTTGTTTAGGGACTGACAAGTGAACGAGTCCATAGAGAACTCTGCTTTCAAAACTTTTATTGCTTCTCTTAAGTTTCTTCAAAGAAAAAATTTGCACACAAATGACTTTACTTACAAATAGCGCTATGATGAGATGCATGATGATGGGGGAGATTTTTTTAAAGCTTGGATAAAAAGAGGTTGAAAGGCCGATCTGAAATTGACATGCTCGTAACGTTCACTTCATGAAAACTGCATAATTTGAGAAATGTGAATGGCTCTGCTAAAAAACTTTTCAGCTATCCTCCCAATATAGATAGAGTCTTTCTCGCTATCTTCACACACACACACACACACACACACACACACACACACACAGACCGAGGGAGCGACAACGAGAGGATAAAGTGCAGAGTATAAAAGCATCAGACTGGCTGACGCAGCAGAGAATCAGTGAGATGCTGTTTGCTTTAGAGATGACTGAACTCTGAAGGTTGGGTTCGGATGTTTAGGACGACTAGCAAAGCATATTTGAGATTAGAGTGTTCTAGAAGCACGTGATGGTTCAGCTGCAAGTGGTACAGTATATCAAAGGAAATTCAAGTTTAAGAGTCCAGAGTGATGGAGGAGGAGATGTCATCACAGAGCTCATCGAGAGATATTTCATGTCACTGAAATATTCTTATAAAAATAAAATCTCTTTCCGTCCCGTGATACATCACAAAATTGCTTTCTAAGCCAAAATAGCATATAAAACCTACCTTTAAAAAACATCCATTTGTTTAGAGCTTATAAAATTATTCCAAAATATCTGAGACGACCATAAAAAGGGCTGCCATGCTGATGTCATTTTTTTTTTTTTAAGGAACAAAAAGCCATTACATATGAATATGTACAACATAAGCCCTTGGGGATGTTCATTTTGAATAATTAAAATAGTTAATTAGGTAACTGTATCTATGCCTAATGATAACCTCAAACTATTTAATATTAAACGGCTCACACTGTGGAAGGAATTATTCACTGGAAACAGATGGATATTTATGCCACAATGTCTTTGCTAAAGCAGTTAAATAGCAAAATTAGCAGCTGTCAAAACAACCCCCTCACAAAGATATTATTAAAGGAACATCCAGATTCAATACAAGCCCTAGCAACAGCATCTGTGGCATTTTCTGCAGGAAATATTTTTGGTTCATTTTGAAAAAAAAAAAATATATATTTAAAAAATAATGTTGTAAGTGCAAAACTGGCAACATTCTTTTCATAAACTGAGGTACAAGTCGAAATAATTCCTGCATGAATCAACAGCATGCCATGGATGATTTTAACTTGCATTTAACTCAGAATATTGCTTTAATATTTAATAAAGGACCTTGAAGACTGGTGTGAAGTGTCAGATTGAAACCAATATCTTTTATGGGGGCTGGAAAATAAATGAAAAATGTTGAATGCTGAATAAATCTGGGCACCAATAATGACTGTCAACACCTTATATGTCCAGGGATCTAGAAGTCTATAATTGTAAAACACAAACTCAGAAATGATGCAAGTGGCATTATGGGCAAGTATTTAGGGGTTAAGGCACTCAAGTTTGGGATGTTGCACCAAATTGTAGTGGTGTAAGTTAATGCTTAGCCTTTCTTCACTGGTTCATCAGCAGACGATAACTTATAAATGTCCCCATTGGTGGTGAACCAGTGTTTCGGCATTGCATCACGTGGAAAGGAAATGACATTAATCCTTTGGTTCTCCATGGATCTTCTCAGAAGCCTTAGCAGGTACAGGTAGGTAATTGTGAGAATGTCAATCAATGGGTGCCATCCTCCATCTTTTACTTCTCTTAAACCACATTCTAGTACATGGGCCTATTGGGAGGTGGGCCCTTGGGATTGTACTCCACAGGCATACTCATACAGTCTGATGGGTGACAACGACCATCCTTGCCCTTCGCACCAGATGGTCCTGGAGGTCCAGGAATACCTGGGATGCCCTGCTGACCAGAAGAACCTGGTGGTCCCATCTTACCATAACCAGGAGGACCAGGAACACCTGAGAGGAACGGAAGGAAATTACAATAGAATAAATACCACAAAGTTGGCAAAATGACTTCCACTTTAAAATTGGCTTTGAAAACTTGGATTCAGACCTGGAGCACCCGGAGGGCCACTGTCTCCCATCTCTCCTACACCCTTATCTCCTTTCTCTCCCTTTACACCAGGGCCACCTGGGGACACATATGAAAGCATCCATGTGGAAGACTGGGCAAATGGAACATCAGACTGCTGTAGGAAACATTAGCACATTAGTTCCTCTTACCGGGTGGACCCATGGGTCCTTGTCTTCCTTCGCGGCCAATCTGCCCGGGGCGGCCCGGTATCCCTGGGGGACCTGTCATGCCTGGATTTCCATCCTTCCCCGGGGGTCCTGGTCGACCAGGGGATGCAACCATCTCCACAGGCATCTGCATTCGGGACATGTAGTAGCCCATACGCTCTGCAGGAACAAATTAACTTAAAACCAACCTAAATAAATAATAATTATTAAAAGTGTACACTTGCCCCATAGACTTCCATTATAAGTGCAAAATTGTCAAAAAAAAATTTTAACGTGTATTTTAACTTGTATTTAACTCAGATTATTGCTTTAAAAGATACTAAAGGGCCTTAAAGACTGATTGAAATTAAATCATCTTAAGACACTTTCTCTGTGAAATAAACCGTTTAGAAATTAAGTTTTAGTGCTTACAGATATGTCTTGTTACAAAAGTTCTCTCACCGTCAAAGATCTTTATGACCTGCTGCCTGATGAAGGACCTTAAGTCATCATAGTTTACAACAGCCTGGAAAAAAATAGATACAATGTGAAGTTTAAATACTCATATATATCTACTATTCTGCAAAACAAGATATCTTTTCCATCATCCACTAAAAATAACTGGACGCGGATGACAACATAAGCCTAATTTATTTATAAATGTCCACTCTCATGTTAAAAATATGGTGGATAAGGAACATAAAAAAAAAACAAACATTGATTCTTAAAGTAGATACTGTTCAATATGACGCTATAGGCGGCATTGACTGTTTCTGTCAGTTAATAAACTCTCTCAACCAGGCTGTGTAGTGTGTACCATGAGTGAAAAAGCCTCACATCATTCCCTGGGATTCCTGGTGGTCCGGTGGCACCAGCTGTTCCAGGTGAACCAGGGCTTCCCCTCTCGCCACGGGGTCCGGTTGGTCCTATGATCCCTTCTGGTCCTTTGGAGCCAAAACCAAAGCCTCCTCCTGGTGGGCCGGGACGTCCGCGCTCTCCCGAGGGTCCCCTTTGCCCTGCAACTCCTGCTTCGCCCTGGATAGGATCAAAGGAACAGCTGTGATTTACTACACAGGCGATTCTAGGACAATGACCACGGGCTACTCAATGATCCCTGTAATAGCACCGTATAATAGGCTTTATATAGAAACTCATGCTCAGCACTATACAGTCCACAAAATAAAATCTTCAAGGTCCATCCCATCTACTTCTTTAATGATAAGGGTGACATGTATGAATACAGTGAATGCTAAAGTTTTGGCTAACAAAAAAAATTTTGGGAAACATTGGGAAAAGATGTGACAATACAATGTATTGTATATGCCATGGTTCTGTATGTACAATGTATCTTACAATGTATTGTAAGGTTCTGTTCCCTTGCAGCTTCATTTTTATTTAGATTTAATGAAAAAAATTCCATTGTTTCCTTAAAAAGGTCCATATTACCCATGTAAACTAATTTCAACTTACAGTATGCATGCCGTACAATAGTTAACTTATTTTACTGTTGTTAGCCCCAGAATTTTGTCTGGATTTATGAAGTGTCCTGTAAAGAATAACGCATACATACGTGTGTGTGTGTGTGTGTGTGTGTGTGTGTGTATTTCTATTTTATTTTAGGTTTTATTTAAGTTTTAGTATTTTTAATTACTTAATTGTATCTTTTTTAAATGAAATATTTCTATAACTTTTAAAAAAAAATTTATTTCAGTTTTCATAACTTTAGTACGTGCCTATAAACATTTTATTTAGTTGCAAAGGCAACACTTCTTACATTCATTTGTTCCATCTAATATCAAATTATTAATTATTTTTAATTTAAATTAAGCAAGATAGTTAAAAAATGTTTCATTTATTTAGTTATACACTGCAGCTGAGCACACACTTTTTTTGTATTTATTTATTTTTTTACAAAAATTCATGGCTCATTTAGAAAATGGCCTAAAACAAACAAATATTGGTTTCTTTCGCATTTCATATATATTTTTTTTTTGTGGATATATACAGTGGGTACGGAAAGTATTCAGACCCCCTTAAATTTTTCACTCTTTGTTATATTGCAGCCATTTGCTAAAATCATTTAAGTTAATTTTTTTTCCTCATTAATGTACACACAGCACCCCATATTGACAGAAAAACACAGAATTGTTGACATTTTTGCAAATTTATTAAAAAAGAAAAACTGAAAAATGCTCAGTATTTAGTAGAAGCACCCTTTTGATCCAATACAGCCATGAGTCTTTTTGGGAAAGATGCAACAAGTTTTTCACACATGGATTTGGGGATCCTCTGCCATTCCCTCTTGCAGATCCACTCCAGTTCTGTCAGGTTGGATGGTAAACGTTGGTGGACAGCCATTTTTAGGTCTCTCCAGAGATGCTCAATTGAGTTTAAGTCAGGGCTCTGGCTGGGCCATTCAAGAACAATCACAGAGTTGTTGTGAAGCCACTCCTTCGTTATTTTAGCTGTGTGCTTAGGGTCATTGTCTTGTTGGAAGGTAAACCTTAGTTCCAGTCTGAGGTCCTGAGCACTCTGGAGAAGGTTTTCGTCCAGGATATCCCTGTACTTGGCCGCATTCATCTTTCCCTCGATTGCAACCAGTCGTCCTGCCCCTGCAGCTGAAAAACACCCCCACAGCATGATGCTGCCACCACCATGCTTCACTGTTGGGACTGTATTGGACAGGTGCCTGGTTTTCTCCACACATACCGCTTAGAATTAAGGCCAAAAAGTTCTATCTTGGTCTCATCAGACCAGAGAATCTTATTTCTCACCATCTTGGAGTCCTTCAGGTGTTTTTTTAGCAAACTCCATGCGGGCTTTCATGTGTCTTCCACTGAGGAGAGGCTTCCGTCGGGCCACTCTGCCATAAAGCCCCGACTGGTGGAGGGCTGCAGTGATGGTTGACTTTCTACAACTTTCTCCCATCTCCCGACTGCATCTCTGGAGCTCAGCCACAGTGATCTTTGGGTTCTTCTTTACCTCTCTCACCAAGGCTCTTCTCCCCCGATAGCTCAGTTTGGCCGGACAGCCAGCTCTAGGAAGGGTTCTGGTCATCCCAAACGTCTTCCATTTAAGGATTATGGAGGCCACCGTGCTCTTAGGAACCTTAAGTGCAGCAGAAAGTTTTTTGTAACCTTGGCCAGATCTGTGCCTTGCCACAATTCTGTCTCTGAGCTCTTCAGGCAATTCCTTTGACCTCATGATTCTCATTTGCTCTGACATGCACTGTGAGCTGTAAGGTCTTATATAGACAGGTGTGTGGCTTTCCTAATCAAGTCCAATCAGTATAATCAAACACAGCTGGACTCAAATGAAGGTGTAGAACCATCTCAAGGATGATCAGAACAAATGGACAGCACCTGAGTTAAATATATGAGTGTCACAGCAAAGGGTCTGAATACTTAAGACCATGTGATATTTCAGTTTTTCTTTTTTAATAAATCTGCAAAAATGTCAACAATTCTGTGTTTTTCTGTCAATATGGGGTGCTATGTGTACATTAATGAGGAAAAAAAATTAACTTAAATGATTTTAGCAAATGGCTGCAATATAACAAAAAGTGAAAAATTTAAGGGGGTCTGAATACTTTCCGTACCCACTGTAACCTCTAAATATGGTGGTTTTTTTCTGGCGGTATTTTGTGATTTATGGAGCGATTAAAAGAGAGATCCCCTCAGTAAAAGCCTTTAACTCTAATATGTAAAAAAAAAATTGGACCAGGCTTTATGCAATGTTCAGTTTATTATTCTGGAAATATATGCAAATGAGTGCATATTTAATTAGATAATGCAACGTTTGCATATGTGAACATAATGTTACAGAAAACTTAAAGGCTTCATTTGGCCAAAAAATTTAAATTGTCATCATTTCCTTACATCAAGTTGTTCCAAACCTGTATGAGTGTTTGAGCACAGAAAAATATATTTTGAAGAGTGTAGGTAACCAAACAGTTGATGGTAGCCATTGTATTTTTGCATACTGTGGCTACTGTAAACCATAAACTGTTTGGTTACCAACATTCTTCAAAATAT